CTTAGGTGAATCAGGAGGAAAAGCACTGGCTGAAGCTTTATGCAAAAATACCACCTTAACAAATTTAGATTTACAACATAATAACTTAGGTGAATCAGGAGGAAAAGCACTGGCTGAAGCTTTATGCAAAAATACCACCTTAACAAATTTAGATTTACAACATAATAACTTAGGTGAATCAGGAGGAAAAGCACTGGCTGAAGCTTTATGCAAAAATACCTCCCTAACTAATTTACATTTTGGTGCTAATAATCTTGGTGAATCAGTAGAAAAAGCACTGGCTGAAGCTTTATGCAAAAAAACCACCTTAACTAATTTGGTTTAATCTGGAATAATATTAGTGAATCAAGAGTAAAGGTGCTAAATGAAGTAATTAAGCGTAATCGTTTAGAATACCCACAAAACTACTAAGAACTAATGAAAATAAATCCACTTCGTATGAATTTGTAAAATTTTAACCATCACCCATAATTAGTTTATCACCAAAAAATTACAAAACTTGTACGTAGTACATGCTATAACTCAAATAGAGTTTAACGTAAATTTCTGTTTTAAAGTCATCCAAGCATTATATATGAATTTTAGACATATACCTATGTGATAATTTTATCCGAATTCATATTTAAAGAAGCTTATTAAGCAAACGTTTTTCAATTCACAAGAATTCACATGATTAGCCTCAAGGTATACTGCAAAGTGCTGGCTAATGTATTCAGGCATTTACAAAATCAAAAATGTACTCGGGATATATATAATCGTATTATTATGATATGTTGGGTTATGCATGAAAAATAAAGCTTCAGCTTATATATACATTGTGTGTGGTACATATATTTGAAACCCAGTTGCATGAATGCTTAAGAAAAATAAAATCTTGAGCATTTTGGGTTTTTAAACTCATATCAGATTCTAATGATTACGTCTGATAGGTTTAAAAATCGAATTCAGCGTCACTCATATTTTGTTGAAGCAGGAATTAGTGATACTGTAAATGAGCTAATAATCTAATGAACACATTTTTATTGCATATGTTCTGTTCACTTTTACTTTACGCTAACCAATTTGGCTAGCTAATTCAATTATCAATTATATAAATAGAATTTGTCTAATCAAATCAATGGAGTGAAATGTACTAGCTTTCTGCTTTAACGTTACTTCTTTAACAGATACATGCCCGTTAGACATGATCTGATTCCAGACGCTTAATCGATAGAGATAAGTAAAAGTACGTAGTATAGTATTCATAGTTCCTTCTTAATTAAATACTAGATTTTTGGTTTTGACATTAAAATTGTATAAAACACAGTGCATGAATACTCTATTAATTGTTTAATTCAGCACGAAATGCACGAAGAACAGTTCTTATTATTTATGCAGTACTCAACTCAGATTGAAATTAAAATAGCAAACAAGTTTCGAACTAAAATTGATATTTATATAAGTACATCAAAAAAGACCGAGCTTTAGTCTTTATAATTTGCTAGATTCAATTTGTCAGATTTTTTAAGGGTTAAATTCGATAAGCTATTATTTAAAAGCCGGGCCTATTTCCTTCACGAACCAAGCATCTCTCAAAAATCAGTTCCTATTTTAAAACAGAATTATAATTTCTATATTTTGATTTTGGATCGGTATGTGACAATCAAATTTCGTAATATAACGAACAATGTATTTGTTTCACTCTGTGATGTGCTTATACATCGCACTTATATACAAAATATTGTTTGTCGCTCTAGGGTGGTGACTTTAACAATAACCTGTTAGCCAAAACAAGCAAAAAAAAGACATCCTTATTCCATTACCTTACTACACATACCTTCATTAGTGTATTAACCCACTTTTAGATCAGCACATCTACTGTAAGTGTCAGGAAAACTGCAACTCAGTCACCTCACAATCCAGAATCTCACATAACTAATAATAGGTAACCTTACAAAAGAGATGTGTTAGATGTGGCTAGCATGGCGGGCTTTCGATTTGATTAGTTAATAAATGTAAACAATAAACGTGATCACTAACCAATCAAATCAATCACAAAATCTAATATGCGAGTAACCAATATCGATATAGCGAAGCTTTGGTTTTTACTTATTATAATCTAAGTAGTAATCTTATTTTATTCCAAACCATTACAGCTTATACGAGATAATTATAACCTTTAGTTTATATAATACTAATTATTACTTATATATTATCAGGTCATTTATTCAAAACAAAATTATATCAGATCTATTCAATGGTTTAACTCTAATATTAAGCAATACATAAAGATATAAGTATTAGTATAAACTTATTCATTAAAATAACACGTTGAAATAATATGTTAAAATAGTATGTACAAAGTTTTTCAAATTCAAACCTTATGCATAATACAATTTTTTTTATTAACTGTCAAACTGTGTTTTTGATATTTAGAACTTATCTATTACAAATATAAGAATAAATAGTAAAATTATTTTCTTTTAAGCAAAGTTTTTAGTGATACTGATATATACTGATCTTTTTTAACAAAAGATGTATTAAGAGTTAAAGAACATGAAAAGGGGTTTTTTTTTAAATTTTACTATATGAAACTATAAGTTATTAATTAATGATATGGTTTTTCATAATAAGACTTACTTTAAAAATTTTTTATATTGTGTAACATGAAATTTTATGAGTCAATCAAATTGAATGTCTGGCATGCTAATGTGACTAGTGGATAATTAAGATTGTAGTTACTTGGGTCAGAAAAGTCAGTAGGTTGGATTATATAATAAAGAATTTAAGTAAACAATGATTTTTATAATGTTAATAATAATATTATAATGTTATAAATAATTGATAAGATTATTTTATTAAGCAAATAAGATCTATTTTCTCAAGAGTTATATTAGTTTTTATTATTAATATTCTCTAATGTTTTTTAACAAAATGTAGTAGATATATTTAAATTGATTTATGATCTGTTGTAAATTAGATTATTTATTGGTTGTGCTTTTAATAATAATCTATTACATTTTCTTTTTGACTAAAGCAAAGATAATTTTCATTTAATTTTTATATTATTTTATATATGCTATAATAGTAAGAACATTCCTTTATAATAATTTCTGAAATCAACATTATATAAAAATTTATATAAGATAATAACATAAAACTAGAATTTTAAATTATTATTATACTTAAAAAAAATTTACCCTTAACTAAAACTTTATAAAATATAATTAATAATCTATAAACAATTATTAAAATAAATATGATTTAAGTTTTATATCTACAAATTTTTTATAAATAAATTATTTATTTTAATTATACTATTATATATATTAATTTATAATTGTTAATCATTTGAAGAATAATCTTAGTATAATGTAATACAGATCTTTTATGTTTTTTATTATAGATAAAAATACAATATATATCTATTTAAACTTTTTTTGTAATAAGTTAATAGTTTAATTCAATTAATTAAAAGTAGTAGAGCTTGTTAAATTATATCTAATAGTAGTTAGATCATTCAAATTTGTTTAGTAAATGCTCAAATATTATTAAAAAATAATTAGCGACTATGTAAAATTTTTATATAAACAATAGTTTATTTATATAGAATTTTATATAGTTAGTCAATCAGTTTTTAATAATATCTTAGCTTCTACTTAATCAATTTGAATTATCTAACTATTATTAAATGCATCTTAATAAGCTCTACAACTTTTATTTAATCAATTTAAATTGTTAACTTATTACAAAAAATTTTTTACTACTCTTTCCGTAAATCATTTTTACACAAAAATAACTAAAAAACCGTCAGTACTAAAATCGTTAATATCTGGTTATTT